AAGAGCGTGAAAGTCTATGTTATGGGAGAAGCATTAGAGAGCTGTGTAACCTCTCTGAATTGACTGGAAAACCAACAGACAGATGCCTGTATGTCACCAAGACCTTTTGACACAGGAGGGAGGGTTCAAAGTATGTGGGCTCGAACATCATTTTTTTAAACTTGCAGCTTTTAGCAATTAGCACAGTCTTGCTAGAACTCCCATTTACATAGGAGAAGCTGCGTTATCACTGCGAAGTTTAGAAAAATGGGGCGACAAGGTAACAACTGTATTATGCTTTATCTGTAACAAATCATGTCCCCCGGAGGTTCCAGTGTGGTTTTTTCTTTTTTTTTCTTTTCCAGTGTGTTTTAAATTAACATCAAAGGAAAGAATTCTTCACCCCACCAAATGGCAAAAACAGGAATTTCAACTGTTCTAATACAGCAACCTTAAGTAAATAATTCTTAATTTCTTACTTTCCAACCTACTGGTCAACCAGAAACACAGAATTGCTGATGAAATTACACTGGGAAGGGGTCTCCCTAATACATATCTTGCTTTCATCCTCCAAGCACACCAAGTTACAGAACTGAAAACAGCTTTTGATTCATATTAGTATTTTGAGTAGAGTCTCTAAAAATTATTTTTAAGCAGCAGCGAACTAAGGATGGGATATGACTTGGTAAGTACTATTATTTACATAACTTTTCTTTCCATGTTCTTTTTTTTTTTTCTTTCCATGTTCTTAAAGTCATACCTTTGAATTTTAAAACACACTAAATTTCTATCTGTTCTGAAGGGCATGGGGCAGATAGGAGACTGGGTGGGAAAAAAATCCAAAATACATGAATTTCAAATTATAACCCATTTTGCCAACGTTTGATAGGCTGAAATGACATTTAGATACTAATAAAAATTATTTGTTTGCCTTAAGAACTTAGATTAATTACTGTAACATTCCATTATGAGATTTTCTATTTATAAAATCTTATTGCTACTCTATTGGTAATCACTTCAAGTGCCATCTTAATGGTTTATTAAGTTCAGAAAAATATTTCTAATGGTTCTTAAAGAATATAGTACAAAAACAGCAAAGAGTGCAAGGTCCTCTATTAGGAAAGAATAGCTATTTTGATCAATTAACAGAAGTGCTTTGAATGTCATTAGAACCCATTTAAAATTATGACCTACAGCATCTTAGAAAACAGCACTGTTTTCCAACAATTTGCAGGCATAATCAGGAAAGGGGGAGTGTATTTAATAAGACAGGTACACGGCTAACATCCGCAAACAAACTCACACACAACACAGGAATTTTAGCCAAGTAATCCAATCATTCCTGAATTCACTGCAATAATGTGATATTACTGCCATCAGGCTAATTATAACCCACGCAGGAAGCAGCCCAGGTGGTTTGCAAGTGATGGTATCAGGAGGTGTATATTTTAGAAGAAATCAAGTACCTGATAGTTTCATGAGAAGTTCAGATGCTGCTTTGACTGACATATCCCGCCTTAGTACGTTGCCCTTTGCTTCCTGGGGCTTCAGTGTGTCCTCAGAGATGCTCGGGGCTGGCACTTCAGACTCGGGGCTGAACACATAGTTGGACCTAGGCAACGTGGCACTTAGAGCCTCCTCCTCCTTAGGCTCCTCTTTCACTTTAAAATTAAGATTCATGGGCTCCTTCTGATTTGCAGCTGTCAAAAGAAGAAAAGGATTACACACATATACCTGTATGAAAGGCCAGTCCCACTCTTAGCTGTTCCCAACTTAATGAAGTATGTAATGCATGATCACATCTTGCTAACACAGGAGGGACCATAACCCGATCAAAATAGGCTGAGCCCCAAGCACAAAAATACAAGTCACTCCATGAGCGTAGGACTTAGAAGAGTGCGGGCTTCTGAATCTTTGGAACCTACCATATTTTAGGAAGTGCTGCCTCTACAAAGTGTTTGGGCATATTTTCTCTTTGGTTTCCAGTGTCTTCTTCCCTGTATATGCTGCTGCCTCTCTGACCTATTAGCACTCTCCCTACCTAATCCTATTATAGAATAATGCTTTCAGACAGTTATTCTGCCATAAAATATTGAATATAAACATGAGTCAGAGGCAAAAACCAAAGCAAAAACCTAGAATGCGGTGGTCAGGTGAGGATGGAGAATTTGCCAAGGAGAAAAGCTCAGAATGCAGATATAACACTTTTGCCTTATTATAAGCTGATGCCACTGTCCCACAAACAGTGGGGCATGCACTTGGCCTTGTCTTTCTGGTCACTATCTGTAGCCCAAGTTATCTCCGAGTCCACAATGGGCATTTTTAAGAGAAAAAAATTTTATTTTGGAATAATTTGAGATTTGCAGAGAAGTTGCAAAGAGGGGTCAGAGAGTTCCCATACATCCTTTACTCGGTGGTCCCTAAAGTTAACACCTTACATAACACCATGGAGCATTTGTCAGAATGAAGAAATTCACATTACTATGATCTAAGATCCAGATTTTGTTCAGATTTCACCAGTTTTTCCACTAATGATGTCCTTTTTCCATTCCTAGCATGGTTGGCTGGTGTGGAGTGTGTGGTCAGGGCAGAGCTAACTGGCCTATTATGGGATAGATTCTTTCTGTGGCTTGGCTACACCTTACCAGGCCTTCACTCACTGAGCTACATGCTACTTCCTGGTTTTTCTTGGGCAAAAACCAAGAAGGAAGACTAGCAGCAGCTTTTCCCACTTGGCACTTTCACAGCCATCTTGCCCCTTTAAAGGGCCACATAGTAGGACCTTTAAGTTGGTTAATTTAGGTGTGCTGGTATTTTAAGAAACAAGATCTCATCCTAATACAGAGTTCTTAGAAAAGCTTCTTAGAATGAGCCTTGGGCTTCCCTGGTGGTGCAGTGGTTAAGAATCCGCCTGCCAATGCAGGGGACAAGGGTTCGAGCCCTCGTCCGGGAAGATCCCACATGCCACGGAGCAGCTAAGCCCGCGAGCCACAACTACTGAGCCCTCACGTCGCAACTACTGAAGGTCCCATGCCTAGAGCCCGTGCTCCGCAACAAGAGAAGCCACCACAACGAGAAGCCCACGTACCGCAATGAAGAGTAGCCCCCACTCGCTGCAACTAGAGAAAAGCCCGTGCGCAGCAACAGAGACCCAGTGCAGCCAAAAATAAACAAATAAAAAGAAAGAAAGAAATTTATATAAAAAAAAATGAGCCTTAAGCCCACTCTTGCTTAACAACAACGACGACAAAAAGGATGAAGATAAAGCCCCAAAGGGTACGCCTATCAACCCCCTGCCCACCGTCTACCTCCAGCCAATACATAGACACAAAGTCCTTTCTTTATACCTTACGCCCTTCTAAGAATATCCCTGCTGGAGTCACAAGTTCACATGGACCAGCATATTTGGGAACTGGACCCCAGAGGGCTACAGTGACACTTGGAAGTTTTACTACCAGAAAGATGAAGAGCTGAGACTAGAACCCACATGCACAGGCTGTCCACCCTGTGTCCCCTGCCTCGCTCCACTACACCACTCCTCCATCTCTGGTCCCTGTGTTATAACAACACCTGAATGGAACTTAACCTTCAAGTCTTTGCTAAAATACCACCTTCTCAATGAAGACTGCGACCATCCTGATCAAAACTGCGACGCCCACCCCACAGTACCCGCAGTGCCCCAAACTCTCTTACCCTACTCTAATTTTCCTTTTTTTTTTTTTTTTTTAATATTTATTCATTTATTTATTTGGCTGTGTCAGGTCTTTGTTGCGGCATGCGGGGTCTTTCGATGCCGAGCGTAGGCTCTCTAGGTGTGGCATGTGGCTCCGGAGCACGTGGGCTCAGTAGTTGTGGTGCGCGTCTTAGTTGCCCTGAGACATGTGGGATCTCAGTTCCCCGACCAGGGATCGAACCCGTGTCCCCTGCATTGGAAGGCAAAGTCTTAACCCCTGGACCGCCAGGGAAGTCCGTAATTTTCCTTTTTATCCAAAATACTTATCACCAGACAACATCTTGTTATGGATTGAATTGTGTCGGCCCCACCTCCCCAAATACAAATGTTGAAGCCCTAACCCTCATTGGGACTGTATTTGGAGATAGGGAGAAAATTAGGTTAAACGAGGCCATTAGGGTGTGGCCCTAATCCAGTATGACTGGTGTCCTGAGAATAAGAGAGACACAGAGGATGTGCAAACACAGAGTAAAGACCATGTGGGGACAGAGCAAGAAGGAAGCCATCTTCAAGCCAAGGAGAGGCCTCAGGAGAAACCAAACCTGTCAGTACCCTGATCTTGGACGTCCAGCCTCCAGAACGGTGAGAAATACATTTCTATTGTTTAAGCCACCCAGTCTGTGGTATTTCGCTATGGCAGCCCCAAAGACTAATCCATACTACATAATTTTCTTATTTATTATGTTAACAATTTATGGTCTATTCCTTCAACTCAAAGGTAGGCTTCATGAAGGCAATAATCTCTGTTTTAACGCTGATGTATCTCGAGTGCCTAGAACTGAGCCTGGCACGTAGCAGGAGCTCAACATATATTTGTTGAATAAATAAAATAAGTTGGTCATAAATCAGTGACATCTGTTGGCACTCCATTATTGCCTGTGGTAAACAAAAGCTACGAATCCCAAAATATTCCACCAAAGGCAATCGGAAGTGCTTTCCTCAAGTCTGATCATGAGATAGGGGATAAGACCTTCCAGATAAAGTTAAAAGCTCTGCTACTACACCACAGCGCTTACTGAGGTGTCTCTGAATGATCACTTGGACTCTGGCATTACTAAAGGAGGAACCCAGAAAAATCTCAAGGAAAGTGCTGAAAATCTAGCCCTCTGGGGACAGTGCCATTGGCATCTGAGCCCAAGGGAACAAGGACAGTCTCTAGGGCAATCTTCAAGCATGTATTTTGGACCTCTACAGAAGGTAGCTCCCAAGAGGATTCTGTTTATCTAGCACATTTCTCCCCTTTCAACCACTTCCAGCGGGAGGGAGTCGTTGCTGTCCACCTCCTAAAGCTTCTCTCACCCTAAGCCTTTCTTCCAGAATCCTTCATAAAACCCTTTCCAAGAGCATCCTAAGTTAGTCACGATAGAGTAGTTAAATGGTGTGCTGTCGGGGACTTCCCTGGCGGTCCAGTGGTAAAGAGTCTGCCTTCCAGTGCAGGGACACAGGTTCCATCCCTGGTCGAGGAACCAAGATCCCACATGCTGCGGGGCAACTACGCTCACGTGCCACAACTACTGAGCTCGTGTGCCTCAACTAGAGAGCCTGCATGCCACAAACTACAGAGCTCACGCTCTCTGGAACCCGTGCGCCATAACTAGACAGAGAAAACCTGCACACCACAACTAGAGAGAAGCCTGTGCGCCGCAACGAAAGATCCCGCATGCTGCAACTAAGACCCAAGGCAGCCAAAAAAATAAAGAAAATTAAAAAAATAATAATAATTAAAAAAATGGTGTGCTGTCTATTAAGTCTGTAATTTTGATTCTTTGGGTAGGAACAATATAAAGTGAATGGTTATATATATTTTAAAATGCTTCAGGCTTGCATCTTTTATTTTTGAAACTTTAAAAAATTCTAAGGTGAGCCGAGGAAAGAGATAAGAAACTACCGAGGCCCTAGAAGCAAATCCTAACTGCTGGCGAAGGCAACCATGAAGCCAATGCTCTCTGAAGATATAAGTAGCTTCTGGGAGCATTAGTCAGAATATGTGCTACATAAGACTTAAGGAAAAAAAAAAAAGACATTTGGCATTATTAGTACAACCCAGATTTAACAGAACTGTAATAAGACACTTTAAAAAAATAATAGGCAAGCTGTATGTTGCTGTTTTATAAATTTGCAAGGTACTTCGTACCTGGTTTTCATTCTGACAATGCCAAGAATGGCATAAAACTAGTAATGTGCTAGGGAAATGTAAATATGGCTAATGACATATCAAAAAATATCTGGGAAACACTCATTTGTCCAAGTTTTAGTTTCCCAAACATTTGGATCTAAATAGATGATGTAAAAATAGCAATATGAAGGCTACCCTGCTTTTTTTCAATTACCAGAAATATTTACACTGAGAATACTGCATAAAGCCCTATATTTTAAAATTAATATGACTGCATAATTGCCATCATTTTTTATTATCTTAATTAAAAATTGTTTTTCTACAGGGAAAGGTGAAACTAAAGTTGTTTTCTCTTTGGGGAAATTGCTAAGAGAAAAGCAGTAATTTATGACTCACTGCCTGGTCTTTACTTCATTCTTACCACTAACAAGATCTGTGCACATATGGAACTCAATTTGTAAAGGACTTTTCACAGCAAGTACCTTGACTTCCATTTATGTATCGTCAAGCTTCCAGACACTCCACTTAACTCAGTGAGGAAGACCCACTAACCAAGAGGTCCCTTCTCTCACTGTTCAAACATTTTGCGACCTGAGAAAATTATGATTAAAAATTATGTACATCTGTAAGTTCATGAGCTCGATGGAGTTGGGCTGCCGTTGAAAGGAAACAAATCAGCTTTTTCTAAATCAGGATTTAGAAAGGATTCAAGACAAAGGCTAATATGGGAAAGGAACGGGAGAGCCACTGGGATAAAATGATTCCAATGATTTCTAATTCTAATAGGCCAGCATTAATGAGTTGTAAAAGGAACCCATCTTTCCGGCGAGGTGTCCTCAGTACACTTCGAG